TTTTGCCAACAGTGGCCCGGTGGTCTGGTGGCTAAAGCTCCCGCTTCACACACGGAGGGCCCGGGTTCGATTCCCGGCGGGTGGAAATTCCGACACGTTTCCTTACACCTATTGTCCTGTTCACCTAGCAGCAAGTAGGTACCTGGGTGTTAGTCGACTGGTGTGGGTCGCATCCTGGGGGACAAGATTAAGGACCCCAATGGAAATAAGTTAGACAGTCCTCGATGACGAACTGACTTTCTTGGGTTATCCTGGGTGGCTAACCCTCCGGGGTTAAAAATCCGAACGAAATCTTATCTTAACAAAGATTCACTAATTAATAATCTTGAGGTTAATGATGAGCTTGGGGAAAGTGATCACAAATCACTTAGTTTTAATATATCATGGAATTACCCAGATAACTGCAATCAAATCTCTGTCCCAGATTTTCGCTTGGCCGACTTCATGGGACTGAAAAATTACCTGGGTGGGCTAAATTGGGATGTCCTGATTATGGGTCAGGTAAGTGATCTTGGTTGCCAATATGACGTTTTTCAGAGCATAGTTCTAGCTGCCAAGACAACTTTTGTTCCAAGTAGGGAAGTTAGATCTAACAAAAATGATCCCAAATGGATGAACAATTGATTAAAACATCTCATTGGTCAAAAGAGAGGCATATATAGGCATATCAAAAGAGGGGATGGGCAGTTAAGAAATCAATATATTCAATTAAAGAGAGAAATAAAGAAAGGAATAAGAAAAGCAAAAAGGGATTATGAGGCTAAGGTCGCAAGGGATTCAAAGACATCCAAAAGGGTTCTTTCAGGTATACAGAAGTAAGATTAGGGACAAGATTGGCCCACTTAAGAGTAACTCTGGTCAGATCACTGACAGTGATAAGGATATGTGTGAAATTCTAAATACCTACTTCCTCTCAGTTTTCACCCAGGAAAATACTAGCGATATTCCTGAAATAATAGATTATGTAGAACAGGATAATAAACTATGTACGATTGCGGTAACTAGTGACATGGTCCTCAGACAAATCGAGAAACTAAAACCTAACAAATCCCCAGGTCCTGATGAACTGTTTGCAAGGGTGTTAAAGGAATGTAAAGAGGAACTTAGCATACCTTTGGCTAATCTTTTTAACATATCACTACAAACTGGCATAGTGCCTGATAAGTGGAAAATGGTAAATGTAATACCTATTTACAAGGCAGGTGACAGGTCCTTGGCTTCGAACTATAGACCAATAAGCCTTACCTCCACAGTGGGAAAATTTATGGAATCAATAATTGCCGAAGCAATTCGTAGCCATCTTGACAGGCATAGATTGATTAATGAATCTCAACACGGTTTTACAAAGGGGCGTTCCTGTCTTACGAATTTACTAACTTTTTTCACTAAGGTGTTTGAGGAGGTAGATCATGGTAATGAATATGATATTGTGTATATGGACTTCAGTAAGGCTTTCGATAGAGTTCCACACTAGAGGCTGTTGAGGAAACTTAAGGCACATGGAATAGGAGAAATTTTTTTCCTGGGTAGAGGCATGGCTGACAAATAGACAGCAGAGAGTTTGCATAAATGGGGAGAAATCAGAATGGGGGCACGTCAAGGGTCAGTGTTGGGCCCGTTGTTGTTCACAATTTACATAAACGACATAGATGAGGGAATAAATAGCGACATAAGCAAATTTGCTGATGACACCAAAATAGGCCGTCCAATTCATTCTAATGAGGACACTAGAGCACTCCAGGATGATTTGAATAGACTGATGCAATGGTCGGAGAAGTGGCAGATGCAGTTTAATATTGACAAATGCAAAGTTCTAAATGTTGGACAGGTAAATAACCATGCCACATATAAACTAAATAATGTAGATCTTAATACTACTGATTGCGAAAAGGATTTAGGAGTTCTGGTTAGCAGTAATCTAAAACCAAGACAACAGTGCATTAGTGTTTGCAATAAAGCTAACAGAATTCTTGGCTTTATATCTAGAAGTATAAATAATAGAAGTCCTCAGGTTGTTCTTCAACTCTATATATCCTTGGTTAGGCCTCATTTAGACTATGCTGCTCAGTTCTGGTCACCGTATTACAGAATGGATATAAATGCTCTGGAAAACGTACAGAGGAGGATGACAAAGATGATCCCATGTATCAGAAATCTTCCATATGAGGATAGACTGAGGGCCCTGAATCTGCACTCTCTCAAAAGGCGTAGAATTAGGGGGGATATGATCGAGGTGTATAAATGGAAAACAGGAATAAATAAAGGGGATGTAAATAGCGTGCTGAAAATTTCCAGCCAAGACAGGGCTCGCAGCAATGGTGTCAAGTTGGAAATATTCAGATTCAGAAAGGATATAGGAAAGCACTGGTTTGGTAAGAGTTGTGGATGAGTGGAACAAACTCCCGAGTACAGTTATTCAGGCTAAAACGTTGTGTAGTTTTAAAAATAGGTTACATAAATACATGAGTGGGTGTGGGTGGGTGTGAGTTGGACCTGACTAGCTTGTGCTGCTGGGTCTGGTGCAGTGCTCCATCCTTGAGTGGAGATGATCAGACTGAGTGGGTCATTGGGCTAATCCGGGGGTGGGGGTCATTGGTCTTATCCGGGGGGAGACATGGACCTGCTCCGCATGGGTCAGTAGGCCTGTTGCAGTGTTCCTTTTTTCTTATGTTCTTATTTCTTGCATTTTGTCAGACTAGTAATTACGTATTAGAATTTCTTATTCACCTTGAGGGAAGTTCCTTGCTTCTGGCAAGGGGTTCTTGATCCAAGGAGTTGGACCAGCCCCTCCCCTCTCCCGGAATCGAACCCGATGACCTCCCGTCCCCCCAAGACCTGGATACTGACCTACGGACTTAGCGCTTCCCGTGAATATATGAAAATCCTATTACTCAGTTCTTCCACTTCAGCAATAATATATAAATTAGGATAAAAGCAACAGTATAAGAGGCGTGATAGTCCAATCAACGGTATTCTCACTACAGTTAAGTTGGACTGGCGCCATGTCATGGAGTGAATCCTTCATGGGATCCGTGAGTAATTTATTCATCAAAGTTAAATCAGCAGAAAGTTTACACGAAACACTGACAAAGGATGTGAACTTCAGAAATCTCTGGCTGACCCTCGTGTATGAGAATTATTATTATTATTATAATCAAGGGGAAGCGCTAAACCCGGAGGATTATACAGCGCGTGGGGGGGATGTGGAAGGCATTCAGGCTTAATTAACTGGAGCACAGATCCAATTTCCTAAATCAAGAGCCCCTCACCAACATCAAGGAACCTTCCTTGAGGGGCGTGTATGAGAAAAGTCCTTGAAACTGACAAAGGTCTTTCTAATTTTAATATTATTACCATATCACATATTGCTTATTTTTTTTATAAATATGATAAAAAATAGAGTTAACTTGTGAAACAATTATGCAGTATAAAGGCCACCTATTAATAATAAACACCATATTAATCAAATTAAGTGCATAGTAACAGTAATTTGACCTTGCTACATTAAGTTCGTCGAGGTGCCATGAACGTTCAAGTGAGTGAATTATTTAAACAGTATACACAATGAGATGCATTATCTCACCCAAAGTTTACTTTAATCCGTTACACAGATTTAAGCACACATGATTAGTGTTAGTTTAATATGTTTATTATGCACCCCATACCCATCATGATGTTTAGTGTACAGATGAATTACGGTCTTAATGATCCACATGTATTAGACAGGTCTCAAACCTAACACTAAATTTAAACTGAGAATATCTCGTGATTAGAAGCTGTGTAAAGCTTGACGCTGAAAGTACCAGTATTCAGCTTTGATCCAAGGGAAGGGAGGGTAGCTCCAATCTCTTTCATCATAAGCTCTGCACTTAGCATCAAGGTCCCCCCCACCCCCCTCGAAGGGGCCGCATTCCAGCTATAAACTAACCAACAATGATATTCTTATGTCTTAGATCACTATGTATTGATTTTTTGTAATGGGATGAAAATCCTGCTGGTTAAGCCAGTGGATGATGAACCAGAGAAGGGGTCATCATGTGACCGGGTCACTGGTCCCATGTCACCAGACACCTGCTTGCCAAACCTGACATCTTTAAAACATAAAATAGGGCAAAAATTTAATCAAGTATATATATATATATATATATATATATATATATATATATATTATATATATATCGTTAAGTATATTTATTCAGTTTAATATACAGATGATATAATAATTATTAATTTAATATAATAGTTTATATATGACAAATATATATATTATCCAGTATCAATATAACAGCTGGAGAAGCATATATATGATATGGAAAATTTCCTTTCTTGACAGGTTATCATGTAACCATTTTGTCAGGTTTAATATAAATATTATATATAATTATTATTTAATATATTAATATTATATATTTTATATAAAATTATTATAATTTCGTCAATAATAATAAACTAGCTATAACCATCTATACTAGATATGAAAATTTACTATATTTTGACAAGGATATCATATAACATAATTTTATATAGTATGACGTTATATATAAAATTATATGTTAAATATATAATTTAGATAAATAATATGATTTCATATATTACCAATTTATAGCTTAGCATCATATTATCCTCGATAATAAACTGTATCACGATCGATTTATCTGAAAATATTATAATAATAAATAAATAATATATATTATATAACAAAAATGTCATAGATACAAAGCTAAATATAAAAATTATATATCCGAACTCATATAATTGACTTTCAAAAAGAAAAAAAATTTAGGAAAAAATGATAGATTAATCCAGGTGTCCGGCTGGCACAATGGTTTGTCCCCTGTACGCCCAAATGTTGCCTGTCAGTTTAAATGTACAAATATCCCAATAACAAATCACATTTTATTAACACAAGTTCGGTCAATCGTACAAACAGATCAAGATAACACTGTTCCCGCAACTCAGATAAGCTGACTTTCACAACAAAGGGGAAAAAAAATGGCTACCTTGTGGATAAGAGTTGATCCAGCGGTGGTGACGAGGGCTGAGCCAGCAATGGTTTATGGTCCCCGTGTAGCGCCTTAGTATGTTGCCATGTCTAGCTTTTAACATGTACTACTGCCGCCCCTAACATTACTCACATTATAACTTTACACCAATGGTTTCTCGTCTGAATGGTAATAACACTAATTATTAATTTGCAGGAAAATAAAAAGATATCGGAGATCCGGCTAGATCGATGCAAGTAGATTTTTGAAAATATATCTGCATGTTGAGAAATCTTGTTTCCAAAAAGTAAGACGGTTTACTCATCACGAGTTAGTTTCTCAGATTATTTTGTTAGTTACAGTTCTCAGGAAACATGTATATAAAACCAGTTGCGTCACCCTGACGCCATAATGGCTCCCAGCATCACTGTTGCAAGCCAGTGTGACGGCGGCAGTGCAAACAATATTAATGACACCATGACAGTTTAATTATCCCTACTAATGCGAGTAATGAATTTAGTATCAGCTATAGGAGGGTGGGAAATATAGCGGTCAACTGGTATTCTTTTTTAATCAATACCTGTCAGGATTCACACATTGAGTTAAACTGGTGTTATAAATGTTAATTTGTCGGTCCCAGTGCGACTTAACCTCAGTAGTTATAGAAATCTCTCTTTACTCAGTAACAATGTAAGAGATTTTAAATGCGTTCAGTTTTGCATTAACATGCAATACATGCTTAACCTAGTAGACTACGATATTGTAGCTATTAACACTTAGTTTTTTATCATTTTTTTTAACATTTAGTTTTTCTGCTAGCTTTGTATTCGCGAGTGAGGTTAGCACTCATTTTAACAGTGAGGTTGAGTGTCATATTGACAGTGAGACTGTCATCCTGGCAGTCAAGTTGAAGGTAATCATAACAGTGAGGGGGCTCATGATCTAGGCTTTTTATTCTAGGGAATTGAATCTGTGCTCCAGTGTCCTGAATTCAGCCTGAATTTCAGCCTTCCATCCCCCCCTCCCCTCCCACATGTACTGTATAATCCCTACGGGTTTAGCGCTCCTAATAATAATAATAATAATAATAATAATAACAAAACTGAGATGGAGCGTCATCTTACCAGTGAGGTCGAGTATCATCCTGGCAGTGAGGTCGAGTGTCATCCTGGCAGTGAGGTCGAGTGTCATCCTGGCAGTGAGGTCGAGTGTCATCCTGGCAGTGAGGTCGAGTGTCATCCTGGCAGTGAGGTCGAGTGTCGTCCTGGCAGTGAGGTCGAGTGTCATCCTGGCAGTGAGGTCGAGTGTCATCCTGGCAGTGAGGTCGAGTGTCATCCTGGCAGTGAGGTCGAGTGTCATCCTGGCAGTGAGGTCGAGTGTCATCCTGGCAGTGAGGTTAAGGGTCATCTTGACTGAGGTTAAAGGTTATCCTAATGGGTATTACAAGTACATGTACTTGTATTCTAGCACAAGCTAGCTTGTTCTCTGATTTTATTTGCACTCCAAACACATCATGGTGGAAATGCTTGACACAGGTGAGGACCTTGGGACCGCATATCTTTCATTCCGCTGACAGTCAACGTGGAATACTTAATTAATCAGGCTGATATCATTTAAGTACCCGGAAAACTGTTTATAGTTCATGTATTCTCCTCTGCTGCCAAACTTCAAAGGTTTTTCTTACACTCTTAGAAATCAAGACTTTTGCTACAAATAAAGGAATTTCATTGTATGAGTTCAAGAATATTCTATGGGTATGTAAATCGTCATTGGAATCAGTAATGGAGGATGCAATTCGAAATCACCTTCGAGAACGTAATTTGATCAGTCAGTCTCAATATAACTCCATAATAGGAAGTTGTTACTAAACAAACAATTTCATCTCTTAAATTGATGTATTTAAAGCAGTGGAATATGATAGAATATGATTTGGATGGTTGCAAACTATTTTACATCACATGTTTTTTTTATATTTTATCATTACTTTTACTGCTACCACTACAACTACTACTACTATTAATATAATAATAATAATAATAATAATAATAATAATAATAATAATAATAATAATAATAAATATAAGACCTTAACAGGAATTTGAACACGATGTGCTTTGACCGGAAATCTCAAGGCGGCTAGGAGCTATGAATCGACACCTGCAACCACAATTAGGTGAGGGGACACACACACACACACACACACACACACAGGTATGATAAAGCTCACGGCTCAGGGAGAGTGACCTAGTAGCGATCAGTGAAGAGGCGGGGCCAGGAGCTCGGACTCGACCCCCGCAACCTCAACTAGGTGAGTACAACTAGGTCAACTAGGTGAGTACACAGTGGTAATTATTAGTTTACAATGAGCAAAGTCAGGATATTTTTCCAGAATGGTTTGTAATATACCACTGTGGATAAAATAGTACTTTCACATTTCTTGAACATTTCTGAGTGAGTTGTCTCTGAATTCATTAATTTTATCGCATTCCAGTACATAATGACGGAAGGTGTGACAATTGTCCATCTGTCAAAGTTTACAATTTGTTTGGTCTGCATCTGGTGGTGTTGATTCAATTAACCTCCCAAGGATACTTGTATCCCAGCTGAAGCTTGGCTGTAGTGACATCTAAGAGTCTGCTTATATTGTTGGATGCACCGTGGATATGTGGCTTCTCCATGACAATGATACAAAGACTCTTGTTACTTCCACTGCCATTGCACCAGAAACCTGCCAGACCTGCTGCCTCTCTTGTATTCCTAGGGGATTATGAGGTAATATTGATGCCCATTCTAACAATATATCTATCATTGTTTCACACACTGAAAATATAACTGAAGGAAAATTTATTAGAAAGGTTAGTGTATAGTTACTGATTAGAATGCATGTGATCTCAGCAACCACACAACAAAGATGAAGAGAGGCAAGTGTTCTTCTACGGACAGTCTGTGATCTTGAGTCAAGGATACAAGTAGCGACACGGTTTTCAAGGCGCTCATAATGGGTGTCCCGTGGCTCGGTAGCGCACTCTGCTCTGAGTTTCCGGTGTTCGATCCCCGGTACGGATGGAAACGTTGGGCATGTTTCCTTACACCTGCTGTCCCTGTATTTGTCCTGTTTCCTGACGAACCTTACCTAACCTAACCTGCTGTCCCTGTTCACCTAGCACTAAGTAGGTACCTGGGTGTTAGGCGGCTGGTGTAGGTCACATCCTTGGGGTGGTAGTTAAGTTTAGATGGGGCTGGGTCTCTGAAATGAAATGAGGTAAGGCAACTGCTTTTAGCCGCAAGATTGATTTGTGTTAAAAAAAAAAAATGCCGGTCATTATATGATTTAAACCCGTCTCAAGCGATTTTTCCCGGACAAATTAACAACTATGCTCCAGATGAGACTATAATAATCTGACACATCATAAGACTGACCGTCGGAGTCTTGACGCTTCTCACATCGAGGTCACATATTCATCACCCTTGCTTTTATATATATATATATATATAATATATATATATATATATATATATATATATATATATATATATATATATATATATATATATATATATAATATATATATATATATATATATATAATATATATATATATATATATATATATATATATATATAATATATAATATATATATATATATATATATATATATATATATATATATATACATATGTAATTGAGTTTTCTTATACGTTATAGACGAAAAGTAACTCCTCGTGCACAAGCTAGCCTAATCTATCAAAAACTAACCTATTATTCCTTAACCATATGTAAAGTCAACAATAAAAATTATTCAGCTTATTTAAAAGATTTGACATTTTCTTTTGTTTCTCTCTACCAAAATATTTAATGATATAAAATAAATCTCACAGTCATTGCTACAGTGCATAATCACATCACTGATAATATATGTACTATCAGAAGGTGTTGGAATGATAAGTGAGAGGGTTGAGGAAACACTTCTGGGAGGAATGAAAACCACTCAGTTCCATATCTGACAGACACTTGATGGAATGGAGCAGAAGAGGATATTTTACGAATCTGTTCTATTACTTGTACACCCAGCCAGTGCCCCTGAAGCCTAGCAGGGTATACCCGGAGTTAATAACTGATAATCTTTATTAACTATCACAAGCCTCTTCATTACCTAGCTAAATAAATAAATAATATGAACAATATTCAGTTAACACACACACACAAATATATTACACACACACACACAAACACACACACACACACACACACACACAACCGGTGAAGAGGCGGGGCCAGGAGCTAAGACTCGACCCCTGCAACCACAAATAGGTGAGTACAAATAGGTGAGTACACACACACACACACACACAGATAAGAAGGGAGGCCCAACGTCAATATGAAAACGACATAGCAGCAAAAGCCAAATCTGACCCGAAGCTGTTATACAGCCACATCAGGAAGAAAACAACCGTCAAGGACCTGGTAATCAGGCTAAGGAAGGAAGGAGGAGAGACAACAAGAAATGACAGTGAAGTATGTGAGGAACTCAACAAGAGATTCAAAGAAGTGTTCACAGAGGAGACAGAAGGGGCTCCAGAAAGACGGAGAGGTGGGGTACACCACCATGTGCTGGACACAGTACACACAACCGAGGAAGAAGTGAAGAGGCTTCTGAGTGAGCTAGATACCTCAAAGGCAATGGGGCCAGATAACATCTCTCCATGGGTCCTGAGAGAGGGAGCAGAGGTGCTATGTGTACCCCTAACAACAATATTCAATACATCTATCGAAACAGGGAGATTGCCTGAGGCATGGAAGACAGCAAATGTGGTCCCAATCTTTAAAAAAGGAGACAGACATGAAGCACTAAACTACAGACCAGTGTCACTGACATGTATAGCATGCAAAATCATGGAAAAGATTGTCAGGAGAAGAGTGGTGGAACAATTAGAAAGGAATGATCTCATCACCAGCAGCCAACATGGTTTCAGAGACGGGAAATCCTGTGTCACAAACCTACTGGAGTTCTATGACATGGTGACAGCAGTAAGACAAGAGAGAGAGGGGTGGGTGGATTGCATTTTCTTGGACTGCAAGAAGGCGTTTGACACAGTACCACACAAGAGATTAGTGCAAAAACTGGAGGACCAAGCAGGGATAACAGGGAAGGCACTGCAATGGATCAAGGAATACTTGTCAGGAAGACAGCAGCGAGTAATG